AGGAGTTCTAGTCCAGTCTGACCAATATGGTGAAACCCTGTCTCCAATTTTATTTTTTAAAAAAGCATCTTGTTTTGTTGTTGAACAACTGTAATGATTAGGAAGGTTATTCTAGCATTGAAATGTGCCTTTCTGTAACTTCTGTTGCTTGCTAGTTCTTTCTTTTGTTATTCTCTTGCCCTCTGTCTTTTGACCGTTTTGTGACTTGTTTATTTTATTATTATTTTTTAAATAAAGATGGGGTTTCACCGTGTTGGTCAGGCTGGTCTTGAACTCCGACCTCAGGTGAATCCACCCGCCTTGGCCTCCAAAGCCATGCCTGGCCTGTTTGTTTGTTTAACAGGCACTCTCTTATTTAACATCTATTTGTTGAATGCCTGCTATGGGCCAGGACTTGTTCTTGATGCTGGGTATTCAGCTGTGAACAAGACAAAGCTTCTGCCTTCATGAAACTTACATTGTAGTAGGTAGAGACAGACATTGAGAAATATATAATATGATCTCTGTAGGTGATAACTGCTGAGATTAACAGCAGTTAACCATGGTCACAGGAGAAAACTGTGGCTTAAATTGGGTCTGCAGTCATTATGAGTCAACTGTGTAGTGCAGTGCCCAAAAAGCCTAAATCCATCTTATCTTAGCCTGTTGGAGTCAAATGACCGCGTTAGAGAGGTCATGTTTGCTTTCTGACTGTCCGGCTGGGCCTCGTGTATAGTGTTTACATTTTGGAGAGATGCTGGCAAATGGAAACTTGTTCAGGATTATCCCCATGATAGCCTTTTAAACAGTTGAAGAAAGCCATCTTATTTGCATGGAGTGTTCTCTAGGCCAAACCGTTTTGGTTTTGCCAACAGTTTCTCACGTGGTATGATTTCTGTACTTTTAACTGTCCTGGTCTTTCTCCAGATAATACCCTCTTAAAATGATGCTTCCAGAATTTAACCCATCTTTCCAGATGTGTTTTCAAACATCTGCATTGGGTAATGCTTATTAGAATATTTCTTCCCTTGATCTGGTTATTTAACTTTAGTAATGCATCTGAGGATTGAATTTCCTTTAAAAAAAAAAAAAAAAAGACAGCTGTGTTACTTCACTCTCAGTATTGAGCTAGGCTGTAAAGCCAGGTCTCCAGCACTCTGTTTGTACAATTTATATATATACTTCGGTATATTATCCAACATCTCTCACTATTAAAATGTCATCTCATCGCTGTCTATGCAGTATTCTACATTAAGATCCTTTGGAATATTTTCTTTCATCTAACTTGGTGTCGTCTACAGAATTAACAAGCACATTCTCAGACTTCATCTAGGTGTTTAATATAATTGTTTAATTAAAAAAGAATAATAGTACCAGACCTTTCCTTCAGATTATAGCAGCTCAATAATTAATCCTATTTTAGTATGACATTTCATATTACTGTGAACAGCCTTAATATGTCATTCATTTTACATTTCTGTATTTTATCCAAGCATTTTGAAAAATGAAGATACAGTCTTCATCAGGCATTTCTGTCTGATACTAGGCTTATCAAAAAACATATTACAGGCTGGGCTTGGTGTCTCATGGCTGTAACCCCAGCACTTTGGGAGACCAATGTGGGCAGATCACCTGAGCTCAGGAGTTTGAGACCAGACTGGGAAACATGGCAAACATGCAGATCTACAAAAAAATTGAAAAATTAGCCGGGCGTGGTGGCATGTACCTGTAGTCCCAGCTGGTCAGGAGGCTGAGGCGCTAGAATTGCTTGTATCGGGAAGGTGGAGGTTGCAGTGAACCCAGATTGCACCATTGCACTCCAGCCTGGGTGATGGGAGTGAAACCCTGTCTCTGTCTGTCTCTCTCTGGTGTGTGCGTGTGTATACCTTGCAGGAAGTAACCTTTCTTTTTCAGTCTTAGTTATGTGTCCAAAGCATTAGTATGTGTTTTTGGTGAGACTACAGTGGGTTTTTTTTCAGATGTCTCCTTTTTTTTTTTGAGATGGAGTTTCGCTCTTGTTACCCAGGCTGGAGTGCAATGGCGCGATCTCGGCTCACCGCAACCTCCGCCTCCTGGGTTCAGGCATTTCTCCTGCCTCAGCCTCCTGAGTAGCTGGGATTACAGGCACACGCCACCATGCCCAGCTAATTTTTTGTATTTTTAGTAGAGATGAGGTTTCACCATGTTGACCGGGATGGTCTCGATCTCTTGACCTCGCGATCCACCCACCTTGGCCTCCCAAAGTGCTGGGATTACAGGTGTGAGCCACCGTGCCCAGCCGAGATGTCTCCTTATTTATGAGTTGGAATGAAGACAGGGAGAGTATTGACCTCATTATTACTGGAGATATTTTTTGTTTTCCAGGGAGTTTGGTGTCCTATTTTATAGGATTTTCTAGATTACGTGTATAACATCTTGACTCTGCTCAAATGCCCAAGAACCCATACATTTTGCTGGCAGCATTACTCTCAAGGGGAGTTGCTGAAACATTCTCTTGCTTAGTACAAAAGTGTCCATGGATCAGAATGTGATTAAACACGTCAGACCTATGAAGTCAGGTGACTTGTCACTGAAGGTTTGTATTGGCTGCAGGAACCAGAAATGCCCCTATGCCAATTGGAGAATCAGGGTATTAGTCAAAGGAAAAGGAAAACATGTTCAACAATTTTTCTTGCTTTTCATGTGCTGCAGAGAAAAGGCTAAATCCCATCTGGTGCACACTATTGTGGGAATCTTATACTTTAGATTCATAAACACAGTATGTTCAGATTTTCTAGATTTGGCATTTGCTTGATGAGTATGTTCGGTGTATATTTTATACTGAGTGTCAAATTTCTTTCCTTTTAACGATAGCTGACTTTTAGTTGCCTAAAAAAGTAGCAGTCATAGTCAGGTTTACTATCTGTGGTTATCACAGGGTTCTCATGGGCATCATTGTCCAACTGAAGTTGCTTCTGAAGTGCTGCCATAGCAGTCATGGTTCTCATGAGCACTTGTCCTAGTTTTTACTGTTGTCCTGGAAAAATTACTTTCACAAGTATCTGGGTTTGAAGGAAGAATTGTATGGCTCCTATGGATATGTCCCAGAATATTCTAGAAAGCAAGTGGTTCCCATTGTGCAATTATTGCTCTGACATCTGGGCCTTCCTTACTCACCTTTGCTACAAAAAGAATCCAGAATGACTTGTAAGGCTGGTAAACCCAATGATTCTTGGAATACTGTTCCAGGAATTCCAAGTGCTCCTCCTAGAATACTGTTGGAGCACTTCAAGTGCTCTTCTTCGAATACTGTTCGGAATGCTCTGAGTCTCACTCTGTAGCCCAAGGTGGAGTGCAGTGGTGAGATCTTGGCTCACTGCAACCTCTGCCCCCTGGGCTCAAGGGATTCTCGTGCCTCAGCTTCCCAAGTAGCTGGCACTACAGGCATGCACCACCACACCCAGCTAATTTTTTCTATTTTACTAGAGACAGGGCTTCACCATGTTGCCCAGAGTGAAACTCCTGAGCTCAAGCGATCTGCCCACCTTGGCCTTCCGAAATGCTGGAATTACAGATGTGAGCCACACTGTACGTGGCCTGAAAACACATTTTCTTAATATGACTAAATTTTTCTAGCTGAATTGGTCTATTTTAAAACTTGCCAATGAAAGCTCCTTAGTGGTGTCTGCTAATTAAATGCAGTTTTTATACCTAACGGACCTTTTAAAGAATGTGGGCCTTTGGAAGCCCCCTTGCTTCTTGCTGTATCTGAGCACTTGCCATCTGGTGGTTAAGAGAAGGTTCCATCTCCTTCAATAGGTTGGTAGCACCTGGGAGTCAGGGATTGTTGCTGACTTGTCTTGCTTCCCAACATTGATCATGCAATAGGTGTAGCTGAGAAAGAGGGAGATAAGGGAAGAAAGGGGGCTTTGAATAAGCCCTGTTGCTTTCTGCTTTTTTTTTTTAGGAGTTGAAGTCTCTTTTGTTTAGGAGAATGAAAGAAAATCTTTTAGGAAATGGCCTCCGCACTTTTCCGAAAATAACAAACCATTTAGTTTCCTAAGCTTGTTACTCTACAGTGGGACTTCTTAACCTCTGCACTGTTAATATAGTGGTGTGGATGATTTTTTGTTGTGTGGCCTGCCCTGTGCATTGTAGGGTATTTAGTTAGCAGCAGCATCCTTAGCCTCTGCCCACTAGATGCCAGTAGTGCACCCCATCCCCAGCTATGACAACAAAAATGTCTCCAGGCATTGCCAAATGTACCCTGGGGGCAAAAGAGTCACCCGCTAATTGGGAACTGCATTGGAGCTCCTGTCTGGGACAAATGCAGACCAGAGAAACAGCAAGTAACAGAAATTTGGCTTTGAAAGGAAACTTAGAAATCATCTGGTACTTTGTATCCTGGAGAACTCCTCACCCCACCCCAGCGCCAACACCCCTTCCTACTCCTCCCCACCTCGCCTTTATACCTGTGCTTTATACTTGCCCAACTATAACCTAAGGGAAGGAGTGAATATAAAAAAGAAAAAAATGCAAGCATATGAGGTAATACTCTTTTGGGCCTGTAGGACTATTTGTTTTATGTTTGCGTACAGATCATGAACGTGTCTACTTTCAAGTTATTCAAAATAAGAAACCGTAAGCTTATAGAAATAGGTAAGGGAGAAGAACACAGAAAAACTAATGTGTAGCACCACTAAAAGATAATTTAAGGTGTATGTTGAACGTTTTTCAGAGTAAAAACTCAGTGGAATGTGGCCACATTGCTGGTACAGCCCTGTGGTGCTATCAGGGCTTCAAATAGGTTATTTTAAGTGCATGCATCAAAAAAAGAGATATAGAAGAGTATTTAAAGTAACAATAATTTGCCTTTTTCAAAAAATGACTTGCTCTTTAAACCTGAAAAATAACAATCAAGATAATGGAGAAATAGTCGAGATATTAATATTTCTTCTATAGGTTGTTATGTTTTATAAGGGTGTTTTGTGTCTTACTAAGAATTCTCACACAAGGTTAAGAACACCAAATTAAATATTAGCTATTTTTGGTTATTTTAAGACTCATCTCAATAAGCAAGAGAATTTGGTTCTCACATTTTGTGCCTTTTGATTGTAAACAGCTTTAAACAGGTTTACGTTGTACTTCATAAAAAATTATAGAGATTCTGCAGACTGAGACGCGTTGGGACTGAAATTAGGCAATTCTGAGTTTCTCATGCATGTAAGCTGCTTTTATTTTGATCCCTATCGTTCTTAGTCAGTCTTTTCAAGTATTCTGCTGGAAGGACTATTGTGAGTGAGGGCACAGGAGACAGGAGAAAATGGCAGGATCCCGAGCCACCAGGCCTCATAATACCTGCTCGTTGAGGTAGAGTAAAAGCTAACTGATGAATTTTTTCAAGAACTTTTGGTTGATAGCATAATATTTAGATTTAGTCTGGTGTGTTTTTTTTTCTTGTTGTTTTGTTTGCTTTGGTTTAAGCTCAATACAGTCACATCTGAATTTACACAACAAAAATGTTTCTGAGAAGTTGTGGATAAATCCATTTTTAATAAGCCAAGTAATATAAAAAGCAACAGGAGAACTTGTTAATTGGGTTTATCCTAATGTTCTGGTCACCTGTTTCTTTTAATAGACACAGTGGTTGCAACAATGCTTTGATTTGTTCCTTTTTGAAAGCTGGCTTTTGTTGGGGGGAGGGTTTGTTTTTGCTTCTTGTATCTTAAACTTGACACCTCGATTCTCATTGAAAAAACTTTCAACCATGTATGGTTGGTGATTTGTTGAAAAATTGTAACTGAAAACCCGCCACTCTGCTTTTAATATTTGAAATCCCTTGGCAGGGAGACATTTTTCTCAGAACATATCTTTTGGGGGACCTCAGGAAGTTAATTATTCTGGCAAGATGTTCTTTTTGAACTCTTTTGGATCATCATAATATTATGTTAATTTATCTAAACAGTGGATTCTGAGTTGAATAACTGTAGTCCTGGCAGATATGAGGATGTCAGACGTCTTGGCATAGTTTGGGGACAGAGGGGACCTTTCCCTCTTCTTTATGTAATCCACCATCATAATGTGGGAGTTTTATGAAATTTCTTGTTATTCTGAAATACTTAGCTTTTTATACCATATGTGCTGCTCAGTGAAAACAGGCTCTGTGTATGTCTGTATATGTTTAAATGAAATGGAAAAGAAAAGTGAAATCCAAGAAATTTCTGAAGTTTGCAGTGGTGATTATTTTTAGCCACATTCATGTCTTTTAAACAATCCTTTTTAAGTCAGTTGATTGGAACTTGGGACAAAAAGTCCCATAGATATGATAGGATAGTATATGTGGTGGCAAAGTTTCCAGATTAGCCCTCAAAGATTATTTAACCCATCATATACTCACACGCTTTGCCATACAAGGGGCCATTATATATAGCGTATAAAAGCACTGTTTAATGATACTCAACCTACAGCAACTTTCAATACTAGGAATGAAATAAAATTTTAAAATGGCAAAAATGAGTAAGGATATATTTTGTTTCTCCTTTGATTTTGAGGACAAGTAGTTTTAAAGAGACTTGGTGGTGTGGTGGAAGAACTCCCAGCAGACCTGAAGATGTGCTGTGTAACAGTTTGAGCATCTTAGACAAATAAATCATCCTCGCACGCCTCAGTTTCTTTTAATGTCATGGGGATAGTTGGGCGGATTAGAGCAGAATTTGTGTGAGGGTGATTTGCAAACTGTAAAGTTCTATGCAAATATACAATATATTTTCTGGTTCTTTTCTTAATTATGAAAATCCTGTGTCCTGGCCTTTCTTTTTCTTGACACTCATACATTAGTAACAAAACTCTTTATGCTTAACCACAATTAGTAAGGTCCTGTTTCGCTCACAAATAATATAAAGGCAGGTTGTTTTGACTCACATGGATGACAGAAACATTTGCTTTTTGAGACAGCCTATTGGAACTTCCAAAATGTCTCTCTCTCATTTTTTGTCTCTAAATCTTTCTTGTTTTTTCCTTGTCTGAGTATCTCTTTCTTAACGACCTTCTCAAGTTTCAGGTTATACAACAGGGCCCGTACTCCAAGCCCTGGCCTCTCTCTGACCTTGTGCCTCTGGCCTGGGACCAGCTCCACACTGCCAAACCCTGCAGCTGACCCTTTGTATCTCCCAGTAGTCTGAGCAGCATTCATTTGCTCAAGGTCTCACTAGAGGCCAAACAGAGGCAGCCTCTCAGGAGAGACCATGGCCTCCCAAGAGTATTTTTGATGTCACTAGCCTAGCCTTAGGCTCTAATGCCAGGAGTAAGACTAGAAGTGATAGGGGCCAAAGCCCCCCAAACCCGAGGAGCTTTTCTGGTAGAAATTGTGTTAGGAAAAAAAGGGGGATTTAGTGGCCTTTGCAGACCAAAGCTTCCCCATTCCCTGCCTCATTCATTGGGGTGGGGGAGTTATGCATATAACTCAGCAAACAAAGAGGCAAGTTGAAAAGGGCTTATTAAAATATTAATGTTTGTGTCAAATGTGTAAAATTCAAGAAACAGGCAGAGCAATAACATTTAATGTTGGAAGAGGACTTAGAGATGCAAAAAGTACAGTTTATTTATTCTAGAGCAGAAAAATCTTAAGCTGGATAGGTTAACTGATTTGTAAGGGTCTCCTGCCTTCTAATCCTGAGTCCTTAAGGATATCCCTAAGACGATACATCTGGGTTTTGCCATGCTCTGTTCTTGGTGAACAGTTAGCACAGATTTTATATAACTATGTGCTGAGACCCTCGGATCTAATAGTCTGCAAAGGCTAGAAATGAATTAGGAGGTAGCCTATTATACCAGCCACCTCTGATTCCCTTCTCCCACCACAGAGAGAAATAGATTGACTGGTTGATCAATTGATTGAAACAGGGTCTTGCTCTGTCACCTAGGCTAGACTGCATTGGTGTGATCTCTGCTCACCGCAGCCTGGACCTCCTGGACTTAAGGGATCCTTCTACCTCACCCTCCTGAGTAGCTGGGACTACATGTGCACACTGCAATGCCTGGCTGACTTTTCGTATGTTTTGTAGAAACAGGGTTTTGCCATGTTGTCCAGGCTGGTCTTGAACTCCTGGGCTCAAGCTATCCTCCTGCTTTGGCCTCCCAAAGTACTGGTATTACAGATGTGAGCCATTGAGCTTGGCCACGTCTCAACGTAATATGTATTAAGCAAGGTAATTTGTAAGAGCTTGGAGACAACCTGCAATATGATACAGTTTCTGCTCTTTGGGGGCTTACAATACAGCATTATATCATCAGAGTGGGTTCATTCTGGACCATACCTTGAATTAGGCATTAGCATATTATATTCTAATTTTGTTTCTTCCATTGATTTCCCAACATGGACCCTGGTTAAGTCTAAGAGATCATTTAAATCTTGGGCCTCAGTTTTCTTTTCTTATTTTTTTATTTTTTTGAGAGAAGGAAAGAAAAGGAGTGAAGGAGAGGAAGAAAGATGAAGAAAAAGAGGGAGAGAGAATGGAAATGTTGCTTTATTCTAAAAAAAAATGGGTATTAATAATGGCCAATCAATATTTCATTTAAACCTATGAGTAGGTGTGATGTGGTATTGACAAGAATGTATGTTTTGTGTATTTAAAGTGGAGAGTTCTATAAGTATTTATTAAGTTTACTTGTTCCTAATCTGAGTTCGAGTCCTTGATATCCTTATTAATTTTCTGTCTCATTGAGTCTAAGTCTCTATGTATCTGGGTGTTAGGATCGTTAGCTCTTGTTGTTGCATTGATCCTTTTACCACTATATCTTTGTTGCTTTAAAATCTATTTTATCAGATACGAGAATTGCAACTCCTGCTTTTTATTTATTTATTTATTTTTGCTCTCCATTTGGTTGGTAAATCTTTCTCTATCCCTTTGTTTTGAGTCTTTGTGTATCCTTGCATGTGAAATGGGTCTGGATGTAGCATACCATTGGGTTTTGGCTGTATCTTTTGATTGGGTGATTTAGTCGATTTAAATTTAGGATTACTGCCATTTGATGTTAACTGGCTGTTTTATCTATTCATTGATGTAAATTCTTCTTTATGTTGATGATCTTTACTTTTTGGTATATTTTTAGAAAGGCTAATACTGGTTGTTTCTTTCTATGTGTAATGCTTCTTTCAGAAGCTCTTGTAAAGCAGGCCTGGTGGTAATAAAATCTCTGAGTACTTGCTTGTTCATAAAAGATTTTATTTTTCCTTCAGTTGTGAAGTTTAGTTTGGCTGGATATGAAATTCTGGGCTGAAGGTTCTGTTCTTTGAGGATGTTGAATATTGGCCCCCACTGTCTTCTGGCTTGTAGAGTTTCTGCTGAGAGATCTGCTGTGAGTCTGATAGGCTTGCCTTTGTGGGTAACCTGACCTTTCTCTCTGGCTGCCCTTAGTATTTTCTCCTTCATTTCAACCCTGGTGAATCTAACAATTATGTGCCTTGGGGTTGCTCTTTTTGAGGAATATCTTTGTGGCGTTCTCTGTATCACCTGGGGTTGAATATTGTCCTGCTTTGCTAGTTTAGGAAAATTTTCCTGAATAATATCCTGAAGGGTATTTTCCAGCTTGGATTCATTCTCTCCGTGGCATTCAGGTACACCTATCAAACGTAAATTTGGTCTTTTCACATAGTCCCACATTTCTTGGAGACTTTGCTCATTCCTTTTTATCCTTTTTTCTCTAATCTTGTCTTCTCATTTTATTTCATTAAGTTGGACTTTGACCTTTGATATTCTTTCTGCTGCTTGAACAATTCGAGTGTTTAAACCTGTGCATACTTCCCGGAGTTCCTGTATTGTATTCTTCAGTTCCATTAATTCACTTATATTCCTCTCTAAGTTGTCTATTCTTGTTAGGATTTCATCAAACCTTTTTTCAAAGTTCTTAGTTTCTTTACATTGGGCTACAACATGTTCTTTTAACTCACAGAAGTTTTTTATTTTCCATCTTCTGAAGCCTGATTCTGTTAATGGGATGCACTCGTTCTCCATCAAGCCTTGTTCCCTTGTTGATGAGGAACTGTGATCCTCTTTAGAGGGAGAGGCGTTCGTTCTGATTTTGAGTATTCTCAGCCTTTTTACGCTGGTTTCTTCCCACCATTGTAAATTTATCCACCTGTTGTCTTTGTAATTACCAACTTTCAAATTAGGTCTCTGAGTGGACGTCCAAGTTGTTAATTCCCAGGGCCGAAATATGAGCAACCCACTGTGCCAGCCAAAACAGCGGCATTAAGGCTGATGGTGCTTTTCTGCCTGGGAATCTCCAGTCTGGCTTCCTTCTTGAGTCCGTAATAGGCGGCTCTGCCTTCCCGGAGCTCCAAACGTCAGTCAGAAGGGGAACCAGTCCCGTTTACTCTGCACCAAGAGCTGCCACGCTGCTGGCAAAACCGCTGCGCCGGCAGAGTCGCGCTGGTGACCCGTGCGGCTCCTCCAAACCTTGGTCAGAAGGGGAACCAGTCCCGTTTACTCTGCACCGAGAGCTGCCGTGCTGAGGTGCCGACAAAACCGCTGTGCCGGCAACAAGAGTCGCTCTGGCGACCTGTGCAGCTCCTCCACTGGGAATCTTCTGCTCCATGAGTGACCAAAATTTGTCTGAAAGTGTGGCATCCTCTCGTTCTCTGCACTTTCACTGGGAGCTGCAATCCTGAGATGTTAGTGATCAGCCATCTTGGATCGTTCCAGGCCTCAGTTTTCTTAGTACATAAACTGAGAATATTGAATCTTGAAACCCTCTCACCTATACATTCTGTGTACAAAAGTCTCATGGTACTATTTTTAATTTTACTTATCAGATTTTGAATCTCTAGTACTCTTTTTATTTCAAGATATTCTTAGCCAAGCACTAAAATCAATTAAGTTATATGCTGATATGACAGGCAACTTAGCAATTCATATACCCACAGGCTAGAGAGAGTCTGAACATACATAATGGTTCATTTCTTCAATTGTAAGGGAGAACTACATCCCAAGCTTACGTAAAATAATTTGGATTATTATATATTCCTATAGTTCTGCCTAACATAAAATATAACTGCTTTTAAAAATTCAAAAACTTAGAAAGTAAAGGATTATTTATTATAAGAGAACTTTGGACCCTACAAAGGAATTTAACCACAGTTTTCTTTTCTTTGTTAATAGAATCTCACTGTATTGCCCAGGCTAGTCTTGAACTCCTGGCTTCAAGTGATCCTCCTAGCTTTGCCTCCCAAAGTGCTGTGGTTACAGGCGTGAACCACCACTACCAGCCCACAGCATTCTTTTCAATAGTGAGTTTCTCTAGTGCATTGAAAATATAATATGGTTTGCAGATGTTTAGTTTATGTACACCAGAAAGAAATAGTTAACGTATCTTTACAGTTCATGGTTCTCTGCAGCAGTACTGAGTGTATGCAAGGTATGCTATGTGTTAACTAATTGTGGGGATTTTATGTGGCTTGGGAGTTTTTTTGCTGTTGTATTGGAATTTTACTGACTTATCTTTCCTCCCTCTCCATGTTCTTCCCAGTAGTTCAAATATCATTCATATGTAAAATGATTAGTAAAATATGAGAGATCATTTCTGGCTCTTGGAGAAGTCACCCATTTAGGGGATGAACCTGTGACTGAGGAGGAAGGACACTTTCTGTAGCGGGAGGAACATGAGCCACATACAAACAGATTTAGTTTAGACGCCAGCGCTACCTTTCCCTTGCATTAAGCAAGTTACTGCAAGCTTCAGAATCTGGTTTTCATCTGTAATATAGGAATAATGATGATAATGCTTATATCACCAGGGAATTGCCTTTTCTGAAAGGGCTAGCACATAGTAGGTACTCAGTGCAAGTTATCTTTTGCCCTTCCCTTCAAATCCAGGGAACATATGGCAGCAACAAGACTGTAGCCCTGGGAGTTGCTGTGTCTGCAGCCTCTTGGGTGTTAGGCAGACAGGGTGTGAGCGCTAGAAAGATTCAGTATGGCATCACTGGGTGTACCCTTGGCCTCTGTAGCCCAAGAGCCTGTGTTCAGGTCTACTGACTGTGCTCTTGAAATGTCTCCTACTTTTAGGTCAGTTTCCTTATCTGTAAACTGAGACTAATGGCATTTACCTAATGGGTTGTTGGAGATCATATACCTTAATTTTTATATAAAATGGCTAGAATAGTCCCTGGGAGGTGGTGTTTTGCTCCAGTCTATTACAGGGAGGATCATTTTGTTGTTAGAGTTCAGTGAAGGTCATTGTTTAAAATCGTGTGGAATGACTATAGGCATTATAAAAACAACTGATATCTCCACTTGAGGTAGCTCTTGTTTCTGAACAGTACTTGGCCAGTTTCTTTAAGAGGAGATGGCTTTGCTCTTAGAAATCTGCCCGGGAGTCTTCCATCTCTTCCATTTTCCCTGCACATCACTCTGTATGGCTTTTGTTATTAATGTGGAGCAGTTGAAGTCACTGACTTGGGTGCAGTCCAGGCAGGCATTGCTGAGGTCATATATTGCTTTCCTAGACTCCAGTCATGAACAGGCTGTTGGAAATCAGAAGTACAGAGAAGCTGCCTTTTTAGGCTGCTCACATGAAAGGTGTGTTTGCTTTCTTCATCATGTTTATACTAATAGATCAGAATCTTATTCAGTGTCTTGGTAGCATTTTTTTCTTTTACTCTACAACCTTTGTGCTGCTGGGCTATTTTGCTTATTCTTTGTTAGACTAATGCTGTTTTGTTACGCGTTTTCTTCATTGTTATTTCATTGTTGAAACATCTCTTCTTCTGTTAACTAAATATTTAAGGCAGGTAGAATTCCTCAATGAAGCTGTATATTTCTTTAGATATTATAGATATATTCTAAAACATTTAGAGATTATTCAGTCTATATATTTTTTTCCTCTGAAAATGAAATAATACTGTGGAGAAAGTATTCATTGAAATAGCAAGTGAAAATGTGCTTCCCTCAGGAATAGTGTAAAAAGAGCATGCTTTTATTTTCTACTTTACTTTTGTATTTGGGGCTTAGGGAACTATGCTTTTGTTATTTTGGAAAAGCAATGGAATTTTATCAGACATTTCCCTGAAACTCCCTATCTTTTCTTTTTCCTGAAATACTACCTTCAAAGTCCTGTTTTGCTCTGTTAGTAGGTTCCATCATTCAAAAAGTGAAAGAGCGTAGTTAGTTTAGGTTATTTTGTTGATCTCTTGGCTTTAAAGAAAGAAGAGACTGTTTGTCAGAGAAAGATACAGTCTGAGAAAAAACACTTGGAGGATCATATGACCAATAGTGTGAAACTTGGGACAGTGATTTGTTAGCTTGAGCAGTTAAGATTTTTTTTTTCAATGTCTGCAAGTAAATATGTGGCCTTAGACCCTGTTATGCCTTGTGATGGGTGAGAGTGCAAAGGAAAGTAACATTCTGCAAATTTAAGCTTTATTCTGACTCTGTTCCTTAATCGTGAGAATTTTTATGGTTTTTGTAACTGCCATTGTGAAACAGAAACTCACTTCTAGTTGACTTTAGCTATTGCTTAATTGTGGCATGCAACTTCTTTTTAATTTAACAGTTATTTTCTGCTGTTTCTCAATTTGAAAGTAGTAATCATGAATAAGAATTCCTAGAAATATTCTTCTTCCGTGATGATATGTCACAGATGTTGGAGTGCTACACACACTCTCCTCTCCATTTTTAAGTCAATTTAGTGGAGATAAAATCTGGATAATAGCTGTGTATTGTAATGAGTCTGGGCCCTCTCCCCAGAGGATCTGTATTTTAATATGTTATGGAACCCCTCTGATCTTTCTGAAACGACCACCATCAGATCATTGAGACTCAATATGCAGTTGAAAGTGTGTGTTTCTGAGATTTCTGTATGTGATTTGGACACAGAATAACTTGTGCTGTTTCCAAAACCACATTCTTCATCCTCTTATAGAACCCAGTGAAATGAGGAAGCTGTGCCTTAAATGTCATGATGTTCTTTACACTTAGTTCTTTAAAAAAGTTTACTTTTATAATTTGTTACAGAAAATTTTGAAAATTCTGAGAAGCATAAGTAAGAAAATAAAAATTACTTGTAACTCTACTACTGAGAGAAAAACTGCTGTTAAAATGTTGAGGTACAGACTTCCATACTGTTTTTTTCTATACATATTTATATAGATATGTATAGTTATTCTTTTGTAAGAATGACTATAAACTGTTTTGAAACCTGATTTTTTAATGTAACAATATATATGAGCACATTTTCCACATCCCAAAATATTTTTGAAAAATATTTCTTTTAAATGTCCACATAGTTTTATACCCATTATAATTTGACTCCCGAAAAAGTTCAAGATATGCCAGATATGGCAAAATGACATGATACCTGTAATTTTGACACTTTCAGGGGCTGAGGTAGGAGGATCATTTGAGGCCAGGAGATCGAGACCTGCTTGGTCAACCTCGAAAGACCCTATTTCTATAAAAAAGTAAAAAAACTACCTGGGCATGGTGGTGCACTCCTGTAGTCCTAGGTACTTAGGAGGCTGAGGTAGAAGGATTGCTTGAGCACAGGAGTTTGAAGCTGCAGTGAGCTATGATAGCACCACTGTACTCCAGCCTGGGTGGCAGAGCAAGATCCTGTCTCCCCTTCCAAAAAAAAGATATGCGAAATTAAAAGTTCACTTTGGTGATAAGGTCTTCCTTCCAAATTATGGAAATAATTGGCTTAAAAGGAAATTGAGAACATGCTAACTTTGTGCTTTATTCAAGATAGACTTGTTTATTCTTTGCTGCATTTCTATCACAAAACATTTTCTTTAACTATATAATCCTTGCTATAGCAATAACATTATAATAATTAATTTTTAATTAGTTTTTCATGAAGTTTTCAAAATATCAACTTTTATCCCACTAAGAAAAAAAGTGAAATAGTTTTGAAACATTTCTTTTCTTTACATTTGAATTAAGGTTCAAATTATTTGCAGCTGCATTTTGGGTTCATCTACCATGGTTAGTTGGTGCTATTGACTGTGCTATAATTTTGGGGTGAACTTGACTTTCCTTAAGTCTCCAGGCTGTACAAGACTGGAAAGGCCATGGTTCTCAGGGAAATGGAGCCAGATGATCCTCATGATGGATGCCAAGCTCCCAACAGAGATGAATGCTACACCCGACAGACTGGTGGCAACAGCACATGTTAGGGGGATTGCTCACCCTTTCCTGGAGAGGAAAAAGCTCTTCCCTTCTGGTGTATTTTGCAGCTAGTTTTTAGGCTCTGTTCAGTCTCGTGTAGCAAGTATCCAGGCAGTTAACTTCTAATGGGCAGTGAAGGAGGAGGTGATGGTGGTAGCTGGGGCTGAGTTGGCAGCTTGTGGGACTGTCTGATGAAATCCACATTTTGGCATCCTTGAAGTCTTTCAAAGGAATCTGGCTAAGTTACTTAACCTTGTGTCATTTTGGTTTACTTGGCTTTTAAAGGGAGCAGTAATTAAACCAATGGGAGCCATTAGTCAGTGGATCTTAGTGGCAGTTTACAGTTTAAAAATTGAAACCTGCAGTCACAGAGCCATGGACTAGTAATAACACGGTGGCTTGTCCTTGACCCAAGGGAGTTGATTTGGGGAAAAGAACTTGTTTGAGGGTCCTGTGTCCTGAGTTTATATATCAGCATAGCTTCTTAGGAGCTGTATCACTTTGGGCATACTTCTTAACCTCTCTGAATCTCCTCTGTAAAAATAATCATATTCCTTTAAACATAAGTGAGAGCTTATTTTATATAAGTGTGTGGCAGAGTTATTAGTTCCACATTAGATATGAATTAGTTCCTATGAAAATGATAGATTAGTGCCAAGTCATCTGGCCTCACTGTGTGGGCTTATGAGCAGTGATCACTGTGTGATCACTGGACTTCTGTAGCCTTGGAACAGTGTTTTCTTTTCTGAATTAATTACAGCCTCACATACTGAGCCAAAGTCGAATATGCAAAGCTTTATAAAAAGATGCCCCAAATACAGTGACTTCAACATATTAAGCAGTCTTTGGTGCTTTCTTCTACCCAGAAGAGTTCAAGTAATCCATACTGATTCAGGACTAGCATGGTACCTCAATAGACAAATTCCTTCCTCTTCTTTCTCTACCATCTTGAGAGAGTCACCCTCATCTTCACAGTCAAAGATGGCTCACCATGATCTCATTTCAGCCCAAGGGAAAGGAGATGATCTACAAGTTGTAGATCATTTTCATTTACCTCCTATTGGCCAGAACATGACCACAGCAAGCTTCAAGGGATGGGTGGGAAATGTAATTATTAGCCAGCAGACACCCTGCTAGAGCTTCTGTTACTATAGAACAAGGTCAGCAAACAGTGGTCTGAGTGCCAAGTCAGCCAGCCACAAATTATTTACAAAGTAACTATAGTTTGTATATAAAAGTGTATTGGCTGTTTATGGTAGCTCATGCCTGTAATCCCAGCACTTTGGGAGGTCAAGACAGGAGGATAGCTTGAGCCTAGGAGTTCAAGACAAGCCTGGGCAACATGGTGAAACCCTGTCTATACAAAAAAAAAAATTTTTTTTTAATTAGCCAGGCATGGCTGTGAGCACCTGTAGTCCCAGCTACTTGGGAGACTGAGGTGGGAGGATCCATTTAGCCCAGGAGGTCAAGACTGCAGCTCACTCCCTTGGGTCAGTGAGCCATGATCACGCCACTGCACTCTAACCTGGGCAACAGAGTGATAAATAAATAAATGTGTATTGGAACACAGATGTGCCCATTTGTTTATAAATTATCTGTTTTCACATGACAGTGGAAGAATTGAGTATCCAAAATGCATGGGACCAGAAGTATTTACGATTTCAGATTTTTTTTTTTATTTTGCAATATTTGTGTATACAAAATGAGATATCTTGGGGATGAGAATGAAGTCTAATGTGAAATTTATGTTTCATGTATACCATATGTATAACCTGAAGGCCATTTTATATAAATAATATTTTATTTTTGAGACAGAGTCTTATTCTGTCACCCAAGCAGGAGTGGCAGTGTTGTGATTGTGGTTCACTGCAACTTTGACCTCTTGGGCTCAAGCGTGATCCTCCCACTTCAGCCTCCCCAGTAGCTGGGACTAAAGGCATGTGCCACCATGCCCAGCTAATTTTACTTATTTTCTATGGGGATGAGATCTTGCTGTGTTGCTCAGGCTAGTTTCAAACTTCTGAGCTCAAGCAATCTATCCACCTCAGCTTCCCAAAGTGCTAGGTTTACAGGCATGAGCCACTGTGCCCGGCCCAATTTTATACAATATTTTAAATAGTTTTGTGTGTGATACAAATTTTGATTGTGTTTTGACTGCAGTCACATGAGGTCAGGTATGTGAATTCTCACTTGTAGTGTTATGTCAGTGCCCCCAAAAGTTCCAGATTTTGGGAGATTTTGGATTTTCAGATTAGTGATACTCAACATTTAGTTGCTACAGAGACCATATAGCCTGCAAAACTTAAGTATTTATCTTGCCCTTTACAGAAGATTTTTTTGTTGACATCTACTACAGACAATGGGGAAATGAATATGAGAGGAGCAACTGGTAGTCTCTGCCACAGTAAAGGGCATGGTAAGAAGGGCAAATCACTGCCTTGGAAATGTAGAGTTAGAACTTTGTACTTAGGTATACCAGTGGCCCTTGGGCCTATGAGTTGATATGCAAGCAGTTACTGAAGAAGTAATGTTCAGGGACAGATTTGAAGAGTCAGGCATGAAGTAACCTGGTGGAGGTGAAGGGAAGAAGGCACAGAAGGTTGCTTACTGATGTGAGCTTCCATCTTTAAAGTGGAGCATCCTAACTCCTGGACTTTTCCTTCTTCCTACAGCCCACTGCTCTGTCTTGTGTTCGATTCTTGCTTATCAGCAGTGCCACTCCTGTAGGTCAGACTCTCCCCTCCCATTGACTTCTCACTGGTCTCCCTTCCTGGAGGTTCACCCTCCTCCACAGTCACCTCCTCTAAGTGTGTCTCTGACATTAGGCTTGTCTAAAGAACTTCCAAGGTGTGCCCATTACCTACTCATTAAAGCCAAGCCCCTAAGGTCCTCCCACTCCTTGGTCCTGATCTTTATCCTATCCTGTCTTCCTTCACAATCTTGCTCATGCTTTAGATTCCAGCCTTACAGAAACACCTTGTGCCCATGCTGTACTTTATCACCTCCATGTATTTGCTGCTGTCTCCTTGCTTCACTCTGTCCAAAGGCTTTGGAGATTTGCGACTATGGCTTGGCACATGGTGGCATGTTCATGGCTGGGCAGAAGGGGTTTCTGACTTCATTTTGGTACCTCTCAACATCTGTGTTTCCCTCTCCAGCCCCTACCCCCTAAGGATAAGCACTTCCTTTTTGAATGCTCCCTTTTGAAATTATACAAAGCACTATATATAACTCTTGAGCAATTTTCTGCTTTTGGTGTGGGATTATAGTAATTCCATATATATTTCTCATCTTTTTGCTGAGAGAAAATCTGAAGCCAGGTCCAGATCTGACTGATCAGTTTCATCTAGTAGGTGCCTAGTAGCTCTTTCGTTGATCAGTGTTGCAGTGATGCTGTCTACAAACAGTGCTATCTACAGTTTAGTGTGTGTCACTGAAAGTGTAACTTGACACCTGGAGGAATTTAAGTGCAAATGCCAATAGAGTTCTCATAATTGTGTTGAAAATGAGTGCCACGTTAGATCTTAAAAACACCAAGTTTTAGGTAGGTTTTAGCAAAAAAACAAACAAAAAAAATATTTGTTTTCTTCAGACCTGAAGCAGTATTTAAATACATTCATATTTAGAAGTTTTAAACAGTTCCCTGAAAAGCCAAGGCTGAGCCAGAAATCAGAGCTTTTGTGAGGCATAAGGAGGAACATGTGGGCAGAACCCCCTGTGAGTGCAAGAGATGGGCCACCTGCAGGAAAACTGCCCAGTCCACTCTGCAGAGAAGGATTGGAGCATTTTCTACACCAGCCTGCCAGGGACACACCTGACTGCACAAAGATCCATCTAAATCACTCACACTATACTCACAGAAGGTGGTGTTTTCACAGCTTCATCTTTCCACAGTTGGTAATCAAATGTAAGAGGAGCTTTTATTTTTATAGGAATGATTTAGCTTATGGAGTACCAATCTAATCCTTTTTTCCTCTGTCTTTTTAATCAAGCATAGAATGAGGAGACCAATATATATAATCAAATACTTGATTATGCTGACAAACAATTTATGTCGTTCACTCATCTCCTGTTAATTAAAACCTAGTGAAACTGGCAGCAATATTGGGAAGCAGATGGATGAGCATGAATTTCAAATGTGTATTTAGAATATCTAAAAGGATTGGTAGGAACGGTATTAAGTAGGCAATGTGGTAGGGGGTTGAATCTGTGAGTTCAACAGCAGGTGCTTGTAGCATAAAATATAGTCGTGCTTCCAACCCCCACTGACCTACGGATGCCTGAGAGATGAGGAGAGAGTGCAGGGGTTTCTTTTCTTGTGGTTTATGCATTTTGAAGTTATTAAAGCATTGGACAATTTATTCTGGAGTTTTTGTTCAAGTTTAAGTTAGGACAAAAACTGTGACCATTGTGTGAAGAATACTGCTTCACCTCCCTCTCCTAACTCTACTTTTATTTACTATTCCATATCCAGTGTCTGACAGTGCACTCTTCAAACAGTAAGTGCTCAACAACATATTTGTTGAATGCATAAATAAGTGGATTCTGCACTTAATTATAAGAGCTTTTTGGAAGATGAAAAGATTCTTAAGCAAAATGATTTTTTTAAAGTTGTAAAGACAAAAGAAGCTTATCTTCCAGTCCCCATCCTCCTTGACTCTGCCAGCCCCCTTGAATACATGTCTTTCTGGCACCTCTCCTGGATTTAGTTTTAAAAGTTTGGGAGGACTGAAGGTGTGTGTCCTCATATTACCGAAAGGAAAACCCCAGTGTTGCGTAACAGCGTTTCATGGGCTCTTTCATAATAAACAGAATATTAGACACAGCCAGTTCATTTTGAATTAATAATCTAATATTTCACAGTGCTGCACTGAGGTACAGATCTAGGCCATGTGTGCAACATAATAGAATTCTAGAAGTAGAGTAAAAAGTTTCATCTACAAAGCTGTTTCTCATTGGCCTGCTGTCTGATTTCTTTCAGAGTTTTGGAGTTGAACACAAATGTAGGCATTCCATTAATAGTAAGAGTAAGGGTGGTTGTGGGCAAACCAGATATAATTTATGTCCCTTAATTTTGAGCTCATAATATTGCTGCTCTGGGTATATGAGATGCCACAGAAGAAAAATCTCAATTAGTGAGATAATTTATAAAGTAATAAGTAGGTTTTGTTCTTTTAGGAAGCACACTAGTGTAGTGGTTAGGTTTATGACTTTGCATTGTGGAGACCCGCAGATGATTATTTTACCAACTTCACTACTGTTTTCTCTCAACCCTCCAAATCTTTGTTTCTTCACCTGGAAACTGGGAATAGTAACATTACATTCCTTAGAGACTCATTAATAAGATAATTCATGTAAAACACCCAGAATGGTGCTACATAATAGTGTTTATACAATTATGATTCAGCCTATGCTCTTGGGCCGAAGAGCCCCCAAAATACAGTCAATTAAAGGGCATACAACTTTTTTATATTGCTCATATAAAAGGGTGAGCATTCCAGGCTTGAAAAGCAGATTTCTTCCATCTTGTTGCTCCACGCTTTCTACATCTCAGATTCATCTACGTAGTCAAAGATAGGTCGCCGGTGTGTCTGTGTCCCAGCTTGAGGAGACAGGAAGCAGTGTGGAGGCAGCATGCCCAATGTCTTTATGCTCAGACCTAGCAAAGGCAAACATCCTTGCCCTGTACTTTTTACTGGGGAGATTTAAGTCACGTGGCCGTATCTGGCTGCCAGAGAGTTAAGTAGTGTAATTTCTACCTGGATGACCATGTGCTCAGTATAATTCATTTATTGTGGAAGAATAGAACAGATTTGGGTGAGCAGGTAATGGTCTGCTCCAGGGTGCTTAATAAATGCAACCATTATTTATGTATTAAAAAATAACCTTTCAAGTAAGGGTCTAAATGCGTTCATTCTAGGGGAAGAGGAACTGAAGAACATGCAATCTGCGCACACAGCACGTATTTCTCGTAAGTGTTACTTTGTTTTGGAAGGGAGCCCTTTAAGTATTGAACTTCAAATCAAGGTAAACCTTGAGTGAGAAAAGAAAGAGTAGATAAAAAGCAGTAGAAGGGATGGGAATATGTTAAAAGGAATGATGCTGATCAGCTATATGCTCTTCTTTCCTCTCAGCCAGCCACTCTGGGTAACTAGAAAGGCTTGCTAAAGTTAAATAAATTTAACCCCTTATCTGACCTGGCAAGGACAAAGTCCACTGCTTCAGAAGAAAATTTTTCTGTGAGACAAGCAAGGTAGTTATTTCAAAGCACAGAAAAAAACAACAGAGAAGAGGGGTCAGTTGCACAGGGAAAACATTCATTTTGACTTTTCTTTTTAAGAGATAAACTTTGTCCTACGTAAAGAATCTCTCAATAGATATTCATTGAGGTTATCTCCGCTGTTGCCGAAGAGAAAACAAAGGTAAAATACACGAGTTTCTGTATTCAGAAGAAAGTTTCAGATAAAAATTAACTAGTAAGTAAGCAACTTTTCTCAACAGAAGAAATGCCCAGACTCTTAAGGACAGCCAAGTTGTGAGATAGAGATCTAGTACTATAATGGATATTTTAAAATATGTATATAAATTACACCCTTACGTTACTTTATTTTTGTATTTTTAGCAATTGCCAAAAACAATTATGAGAAATGAAATGATGTTCTGAGCTGCCACATGGTATATTTAAAATCTGCAATTTTATTCTTGACAAGTAACATATACTACATGCTTTTGTGTGCAAGTAATGCTCAGATGTTTGATAATGGAGTGAGCCTAAGGAGGCATCGTTTTTTGTTTTCACAAGTAGTTCATTGCCTAACTACTGAAAATAGCCGCAGATATTTTGAACAGATGGTCCCAAGTTAATAGGGAAGAAAGTAGAAGTCGGTCTATTTCTCTTTTTATTTTTACCCCACAACAATGGTGAAAATAATTAACAGTATATAATTTGAACCAAATTCTATCAAAATACTTCTAAGAGAGAGAGGATTTGTAAATTAAAGTGCTTGATATGGTAGAGTTGAAAGCCAATATAAATTGCTTAAATTTCAGCTTTCTAGTAGTGTTTATCGAAATGACTGCTGCGTTGTTAAAATAGAGCTTTTGATTTTTAAAAGACAATTAAATTGTGGTGAGATGTACGGAACCTACCAAAACTTATTTCAGAAGTTCTGAAGTCTTTAAAGGGTGGTAAGTGGTGATGACATGTTAAGAGTGGGACCTTGCTAGATGACCAGAAAGAATATGGGTTGATGACATTAATACTCTTCTGATTTCTGATTCCTCAGGAGTCCTAAGTTAATAGTTAATAACCTACTCTTTAGCTGCTGACATTGAAGATAGTGAATATATTGATACTACAACAACAAATTTGTATTTATAAGGGACTTTGAAGAAGAACGCATTTCTGACTACATCTGTATACTAATACAGATGCCGTTACTATACATCGGTTTGAGCAGATGACAATAGTAGTACTATTGTATATAGATATCCATCTACAAAGAAGATGAGTATCTGGTTTTTTACTTCTGGAATACTAGGTTGTTAAAGCTTACTGAGATTTTTACGTTCCATTAATGACAGCTGCACCGTTTTCATGTCTATGGGCTATATTTCCATGTATGTCCACAAACTACTTAAAAATCTTTGATTTTGATTTTTGCATTTTCTTTACCTCTACTGTTTCAGTGGCTACACACAACTGATTACTCTTGGGCACTTGTGGACTGTGGGCTATAAACCTATTTACATGGGATCTTTCAGTTTTGCTTCTGTCTGAATTTGTCTACATGAAAAATACTGGACTGGCTCATATGAAATGATAAAACCATAGACTAGAGGTAGCAAACTATGGCCTGTGGGCCTGATACTGTTTAAGAAGGTTCTTCACATTTACAAAGGGTTGTTTGAAAAAAAAAATACGAGGCAGAAACCATGTGTACCCTATAAAGCCTAAAATATTTGTGATCTGACCCTTTGCAAAAAAGTTTGCTGTCCCCTGTCGTAGACAAATAGTACAGTGTTAAGTGGTTAAGGGCATAGGCTCGGATGAGGCCAGACTACTAGGTTCAGATCCTGTCTTTACTGTTTCCAGTATGACCTTGGTCAAGTTACTTAATCTCTTTGTGACTTGTTTTCTCACTATAAATGGGAATAAATTACAGCCTACCTTGAAGGGCTGCGATGAGGATTACGTTAATATATAAAGTGCATAGAACAATGGTAGTTAATGAGTATTCAGTAAATGTTAATAATTGTTATTTCATCAGAAAAAATCTTGAGATCATCTAAACTAGTTTTTGCTTTCCAGTGGTGAATGTCCAAATGATTAAAGACCATTTTTCTGATTTCTGCATCAAGAATGGAGAGTCATTTTCTTTTTTAATGGTGCCTGCTTTACCAAAAAAAAAAGACAGACCCAGAGTCAAATGTAAGAAGTGCTTGAAAACATAAAAAAGTTTAACCACAGCTGCTTTTTAAGTTAGGAAAAGGACAATCGAAGCTCTTTAAATTAAATGAGCACAAATATTTGTTTATATACTTAGGACAAGCATAAGAAGAAATAAAGTGGAAACAGAAGATGTAGAAGATGTTAGAAGGAAGGGGAAACAGGAATAAGAAAGGTAGTCAGCAGAAGAGAATAAAGATTCAGATCAAAAGGGAAGCTGGAGGTTTTTCAAGGACGTTCAGTGTTGGCATCCCTCCTTCCTTGGGAACCCACCTCCGTTAATCTGTGTGTCCATTTTAAATGCTTCCATTTGAAGAAAAGTCTGACTTCGTTTGTTTATTTTCTATTGCAGAAATAAATTGTCAACATCAGGTAATATTAACTGAATATACATTATATGTAACGTGTGTTCCCTCAGAAAACTGATCACATGTATATAAAAGCATCATATTTTGTATATTTATTTTTAGGTCAGGCAGTTCTGTCCCCCTTAGCCACTTGTTTTAATGATCATCATTGTCATTGTCAGATATTTGTTGGGTTCCTAAATGCCTTTCATCATGTTTAATACTTCTTTATTCTACTTGTTCTTTCAGGTTGGGAAAGGACAAACTTAATTATTTACAAAATGTAGAAAATGTTTTAAAAACAGGAAAAAATGTAATGAAGCGTAGCTCATTCTCTCTTCTTCTTTTGTACCCGGGTTGTTTATTCTGTTGATGGATATTGGACTGGAGTGATGAGTGTTCTAGGATGGGTATTTGATGATGTCAGGGGACTCAAGTAATGGCTTTGCATGAAGATTACACAGTGAAGCCGCACATTGATTACCTCATCTTATTAGCTGATGGAGATGTTGGAGAGGACGAGATTGCAGGGCTTTCAAGCCTGTACAGCTCCAGGGATCTGATCCTAAGAGCTTGATAATTGTCATTGCCCATAGGGACTGTGTTAAGAATAGTGGTGGCTTAGTCTACTAAAACACATCTTATGAGAGTGTTATAATAGTTCCCCATGTCTTTTGAATTGTTCAGATAAGGTTAGGACTTTCAGATCAACTTGAGTTTTAATTTTTAGCTTTTATAGAATTCTAAAATTCTGTTTTTGTCTTCCTCCACTAAAATTTAAGTTTGCCAAGGTAGGCAGAGTTTTATTTCTTGAACTACTATCCCTCCAGTGGCTAGAACAGTGGAACATGTAGGTGCTCAATAAAGATTTTTGAATGAATAAATAAATGAACAGGTTGAATATAATTATTTTTTTTCCTGTCCTTGAACTTCCTCTTTATCAGTAATCCATAGGTAGTGAGTGTTCATAGGATACGTTTGTACCAAGAAGTGATATGAAACCAGTTGAGTTAGTTTTATGCAGCGCTTCCATTGTTCTGGTGAGAACAAAATACATACACAAAAAAGAAACAAATTGTGTAAATTTGGTGTATAATCATTATTTTTATTTATTTATTTATTTATTTTTTGCCAATCAGTTTGAGCTTATGAGGTTAGCCTTGAACTGATGACCTCGCCTTCGTGAGCGCCATGACCTCTGGTGGGAGCCACTTTGGACCCCCGAATAACCATTATTTTTAAATGAACTATCCTTTCCAGAAACATACAGGTTGCCAGTTGATGGCATTTTCGATTTCTTTGTGTAAAACGAGTATTTTAAATTTTGAATGAATTCTATTTAACAAATATACAGGTGAGTACATAAAAGGGACCTTGAACATGAAATCCATTGTTTTCACCTATTAGTGTTTTTACAGCTTAAATGATGAACATTAGAATCATTAGATGAAGATAACTGGAAGTTAAAGACCTTTAGTTGTAACTCTCCCTAAAATGTTTGTGAGAGCTTGTAAAATGTTATTCCCTTTCTTCTATTATAAAAGGGCATTGTAATAATACTAATTTTTGAAACTGTGTTCTTTTAAATACGGGCAAATTATAGAACTCTGTTATTGCCCATTGTACTGTGCTCCCTTTTTTAAGGCATGCCCTCTGTATACCCTTTCTAAGGACTTGGGTGTAACAAAATGAGGAGTAAGTCAAGAAAGAAAAAGGCACAGCTTGTCGAGATTGACGGACCCAAGCAGCGTAGGAAATTGCATGATGAAATCTGTGTGCCAAGCTTGTCAGCATCCATTCATGTTGAAGGAGAAGGGCACATGGATCAGGTGGGGAAGAATCCAGCAGAGTGGACCCAGGAAAGGATGGGGACAATAGTAAGTGTAATGGGAAGCTTGGGGAAAGTTGAAGATATGATAAAGGTAGTTGGTGAGGTGAAGAAAGGAGAATCCACAAAAACTTGGCCCTGGGAGCATTTTCCAACAAATGGCATGGGGTAGTGACACTGACACTGGACAAGGAGAGAAGCACATGTAATCCTAGCCTTACTTGGGACCCTATGGAAAGATTTCATCTGTGGTCACGATAGTGTAAATGCTGTTTATTGGTTTTTAAACTCTTGAACTCAACCTTTGGAGTGAAAGACAATAGAAAGTTGAGCTGGTTACAGAACAG